TGCCTTTGTGAGTAAATGCCGAAAAGGATTTTTCCGGCAAAGTTGAGAGTAAAATGAAACAAACGGTCGACATTGACTCGAGTTACACACACACTGTCTCTACCCAGGACGTAAAATGAGCAGTTGGCTGATGTTTGGGGTGGAGCAGTGCGCATTGGACTGTAGGCAACGATTTAAGTGAGAGGAGGGGGGTAGACGATTACATTTTGTTCACCTACCGTCTTTATTTCAATCTGCATATTCAAGGCTTCACAAGTAACAAGCCTGGTCGTGTTGAAATTAGCCTCATCAACTGTTTTTGAATGGGGTTTGTCCGAGTTTTTTCTCAGGAACTCTTCCCCCCCCCCCTTCAGTTGTTCTCCCTTTTTGTATAGCTTTAGTTGATTGCGCCAGTACTTCTCGCAGTCACATCTTGAGTTTTCCGCATATCATCCCAACCGTTGAAAAATGGATTCCTTGCGGAACTGTATTTTTTTTGCAAAGTTACGTAAGATTTCTAGAGCAGAACAAAAATGAAGCAGTGTGCGCAACTGAGTTATCACCTTTAATATTTTACTTTCAGTCAGAAGGGACGTTTCAAGAAAGGTCCGACTCCTCCTCCTCTTATTCCGCCAGCAGTCCCTGGAAAGAGGTAAGATTGCTGAATGAACGTAACAGAGGAAAGGAGACACTAACCATAATCTCCAAATGAGCTCTGCTTTCTCGGGGAGTTCGTTATGTCATTGCCTCGGGATGGATCACTCACGAACTGGGCAAAGACACGGCATGTCTGCTCGTCTGCACCTTCTTACCGACATGTCGTGGATGAAAGGGAGGTCGTCAGGGCATATACGGTGGTGGGTGGGAGCTCATTTCAAGCTAGCACCGCAGTGGGCGGGACGTGCGCAAAAATCTTCCTTCGAACCTTAGAAGGATGTGTGAAAAATCCAAAATAAAATTACAAAATAGCATTAATTCGCCGTGCTGGTGAGAGTCGCGTGCGACCTCGCACACCGGTGGCAATGTTTTCAAGTCATAGTTTGCGACAATATATGTTGTGCTATGAAAAATAGGCATAAGGTCTACGATATGGGTAGTTGCATGAAATCTTGGTGCTGCTTGTGTCCCATCTTCGACATGCTTATGCGAAGAAGGTGTATTGTGTGACTTCTAAATCCGTTTAAACGCGGCAAGAGTGCAAATCCTCGCGCCTAAAGCTGTGGTCGAAGACTCTCCTTCTGTTCTCCTTGATTATTGGTATCGGCACTCGAGACGCACCCCTCTGCCCCCCGCGTACTGAACGGTAATCGCGGGTTTCTTTTTCAAAATTATTGGACTCATTAGTGGGAACGTAAGGTGCTACAGTCAACCTGTTGACTTTTGGGGAGGTCAACAAAAGGCTTAGCGTGTTTTACTATAGTCAGCGCAGAGTGGCAACTCCCCCGCAGTTTTCATTTTCTATGTTCATCGATGAGCTCGGGCTTTTGCATGGAATTAAAATGTGTCTACTGTCCGGTAAGCTGTCTCGTGGCAGCACAATCCCCTGCCTTGGGTATTCCGCAAAAGCTCAGGCGGGAGAGTGAATAAGAAAACAAAAAAAAGAACGATATTGCTCCGAGTTGACACCTTGACGATTTGAGTTGCTTTTTCAACTCAAGCAGTGTTCACATGTTATCCAGGTGAAGTGTTTCGATACCCATGATGTCTTCAATCACTTCATTTCCAAGCATTACACTGCCCTGCAGAAGCGTGCTAATAAGGTTATCTCGTTTCAGCCATACTGAATAGCTTAGCCTCCACCAATATTCTCAATATCACCCTGCTCACGTTGAAAGCAGGCTGACCGTTCTTCAAGTTGGTGAGTCTCTCTGCGTGCCTGACCGCAGCGTGCGTCTGCTCCGAGCCCCGTCTGGCTTCTGGTCCTCGAGAATGAGACGCCAGAGAAAAAAAACGTGATCTGAAGTTGTCGCTAGTAACCCGTCTTGACCGTCTCTTCTCTCGCCCCCGCCACCTCCATCTGCTCCAGGCAGAGTCCAGAGCCGGATGGTGAGCGGTACTAGTGGGTTATGAAGGAAAATTACGGAGAGACATGGTCCCTTTCACAAGATTTGCTTCTATGACTCGCAGTCTTCACGATTTTTTTTATTCAGGTTAAATGCGCTCAGGACCTGGAACGGGTAGTAAATGACACCATTGAGAAGTGCAGTAGTAAATATGTTTTAATTTGCATCAATTCACCGCGGTTCTAGGTATCTCCCTGGGGACATCCGATATAAGCAAAGCTATGGAAGGCTGGGCAGAGAACGACTTGCGCCTTCGTCGAGTTTGCCCAAAGGTATCTACTTGCTTTTCCCAGATAGTAACCTTTCATTTATCTGATGGCTACCATAACTTTACTGTAATATATTACTCTTGTTAAGATCAACCGAGCTCATCGAAAGTGTTTTCAAAACCTGAGTCGTCTTCAAAGCGACTAGATGAACATAGCAAACCTGTCAACAGAAAACCAGACACAGATCGCAGTCGCCACATGGAAAAGGGAAGACCTCAAAGTGCTCCACTCAAGGGGCAGAGTCATATGTCTCGGTAATACTTGGAAAAACTTTCAATGTTGTCCCTCTAATTTACAAATCTCTTCAACATTTTAATATATTTTGAGAGAGCACCATGGTGTCCGACCACCAGATCGGAAACCAGACCGAAGCCGTGAACATCGGGACAGGCATCGTGAGCGAGAACAGTACCGCAGCTATAATCGGGCGTATGATTACGATATGGAGGATGACTATGAAGACGACTATGATAGTGAAATGGACGATTTCATAGATGATAGTGGTTTGGATATGGACGAGCTAAGTCGGCAGGAATTCGAGGAAACGCTCAAGTAAGATATGCTGTTCTTTAATTGATTCAAGCCGGGAGTTGAGCTTTTCGTGGCGAAAAAATTACAAAAAGGCGGCACTTCGGCGACAGGGCATCTTGCACTTTCGCTGCTTCATTAGTCCCGGTTCACAATGGTTCTTCGGTATAACCTGTAAACTTTTGTGGAGCTGGTTCGCTTGTCGAACCATAACGGTAAAGCATGCCAACTTTTTAGGCTAAAGAAATAGCGCTCGCAGAAATTCAACTTGCCCCTCCCTTCGCCGAACTGTCCCCAAAGAGGCGCTACTGATCAGGTCATTTTCTCATGCACACGAGTTGACTTAATCAACCTTTCAGGCTTCCATAATCATCAGGCTCTAGAAGAAGAGCTTCCCATGAGAGCCCAAGACAGGGTTTTCGCATTCGGGCAGTATCCCAAAATGTCATTCACTAAGGCCGCGTCAAGGCTAACGCACCACCAAGGAAATGCAGAAATGAAGAATCTGCGGAAATGACGAAAAGCGTTGTGTACATATCGATTCGAAGAAATGCAGAAATGCCGAAAGTGAAGAAGTGCCGGATCTGAGAAAATGCTAGAAAGTGCGGAAAATCGATACGTATCGGTTGCTTCTCGTCACTCCTGCAGATTCCACACTTCCGCACTTTCCGCATTTCTGCATTTCTGCAGATTCCGCACTTCTGCAGTTTCGGCATTTCTGCATTTCTTCAAATCGATATGTATATAATGCTTTTCGTCATTTCCGCAGATTCCGCATTTCTTCATTTCTGCATTTCATGGTCGCAAGCTATGAACGCGGCCTAAGGCACAGGTTGTGGCGTCCAACGATTGCCTGTGTGTCGCTCCAAAGCACCCCTGTTTCCGTCCGCCGTTAAGTTCTCGAAATCAACTTCATCGGCTTTTCGTCGAGCAATTTGACACTTAATAGCCGACAAAAGCCTGAAGCCCTTCTCCCCTCACCTCCTTCGCTTAGTGCCTTAACATTACAAACCGCACTTTGTTGGTGAGAGCTCATGCTATATGGAGTGGTGACTCTCCTGTCATTTTTTTTGTTCATTTTAAACGCTACGTTGACGGGGAAAGGTTCACGGCCCAACTTGAGGTCAAAATGAAATTGGTATAGTACCTTGCCTTCTATGGGGATGGCATCCATGATCTGCTGGAAACTAGCAGGAATCGCAGAATAGCAACGGTGGATGTAGTTAGGCTTGTGGGTTTCTGCGCAATAATATTGCCTAAGCTAAGAATCACGGCAGGAATTAGTTCGTGATCTAGATGAGTTTTCCAGATTTTCGAGCGGTTAAAATTCCCGTTCTAAGCGCACCTGTATTTACGCTCGTAATTTCTGTGGTTTCTCTTAGTACTGTCAAGGGGGGTAGTTCAGGGCGCGGTACGCTTTTCAAAACTGGTCCTTGCATATTGAGGGGCTCATGCAAGGATTTGAAAAGTGAAAAATAAAAAGGTCTTCATTTAGCTTCCAGGAAAATTGAAAAACGAGTGGAAAGAAATCTTTGGAATCTGCTTCGTTTTGGGCCTCTATGCGGCGTAGGTCACTTGCAACTTTGACCAGTTGCTGAGTGGGGGGTCCTTATAAAGGGACTATTTGAATCAAAGCGAAAAATCGTCGCAAATGAGCTTCCAACTTGGGTCATGTGCTCAAGGGTGAGCTGCTTCTTGCAATGGTCTCTTCAACGATTAGAGCGGTACACAACGGCAACGACCGGATGGCCTAGCGGATAGGGTGAAGGTTTCGCAATCGGACAGTGAGGGTGGGGTTGATGGTTCGGACTCCCCTTGCGTCGCGGCTTTTTGCATTTTTTAGGTTTCGCTGTTCTCGCTTCCATTTTGTCTGCGCATGAATATAACTCGGATATTTGCCATTTATGGGTACACCAGTCGGCTCGCCGGCTGACGCCGGCGCGCCTCCTTCTGATACGGCCCGGCTGCGCCGGGCGGGCGCGGCTTCGCCGCGCGTATTTTCTTTCACATATTTCTAGACTCAACTGATATCCGCCTTTTGTTCTGTACTCCACTTTTTTTCCGGTGTCTGAAGTATTCTTGAACCGTTCTACAGAATTTTTTCGGGAACTTTCGTCTGGCTCCGCCCACCTCGGGCTGGCCCCGCCCACATATGTATACCCCACATTTCTCAATCGGCGACCCCATGCTGACCTGAATTCACTTTATTCCGGTCTTCGGAGTGCTCTGGAACCGTTTCACAGTTTTTCGTCTGACTCCGCCCACCTCGGGCTGGCTCCGCCCCCAATTTTTGTGCCCACAATCTTCACCGACGACCCTCTGCTGACCTTAATCCACTTTTTCCGGTCTTCGGAGTGCTCTGGGTACCGTTTCACATTTGTCGTATGACTCCGCCCACCTCGGGCTGGCACCGCCCCCAATTTTTGTGCCCACAATCTTCACCGACGACCCTCTGCTG